CAGTGAATGTGTAAGCATCTCAGCGCTGGCAGGAGCTCCACACAGCTGCTCCAGCACCCAGGGCTGCATCGGGGTAGGTCCATGTGGCTTCTCCTCAGGGTTGTCTTGCAGGAAGTCAGCTTTGCCAGCTGAAGCAGGGAACTGGCTAAGGCAGCTGCACCCTGGTCCAACCATCAGAAAGCAAGAGAACTGAGAACTAGAAAGGCGAGGCTCACTGAGCCATTTATCCCTCTGCCCTTCAATTAACCCCACATGTGTTTATTGGCCAGGTTGGCACAATAAACTATCTCAATACCTAAAGAAAAAACAAAAAAGAATCTCAATTCATACTCAAAGTAACCATGTAGGACAGGGTAGAACTTCCCTATGGGCACAGCCTCACACCTGGTCAGGAATTGAGCTGCTAACTGAAAGATGGGCCCTTCAAACCCACCAGCCACTCTGTGGAAGAAAGATGAGGCTGTCGGCCCCATGAAGATTGAATCTTGGAAACCCCACATAGGTCAAAATCAACTGATGGCAGTGGGTTTGGTTTGGGGGTTATGCACCTATAAATATATGTGTGTGCAAATCTTATCATAATGAATGAGGTGGGGATTGTGGAGTAGAGACCCAAAGCCTATTTGTAGGCCACTGGACATCCCCTTACAGAAGGGTCTCAAGGAAGAGACGAGCCAGTCAGCTGCGATATAGCAACAATGAGACATACAACTTTCCTCTAGTTCCTAAATGCTTCCTCCCGCCCTATCATGATCCCAATTCTACCTCACAAATCTGGTTAGACCAGAGGATGTACACTGGTACAAACAGGAACTGGAAACACAGGGAATCCAGGGAGGATGATCCCTTCAGGACCAGTGGTGTGAGTGGTGATACTGGGAGGGTAGGTTGGAAAGGGGGAACCGATTACAAGGATCTACATGTGACCTCCTCCCTGGGGGACGGACAACAGAAAAGTGGGTGAAGGGAGATGTCGGATAGGGCAAGATATGACAAAATAATAATTTATAAATTATCAAGGGTTCATGAGGGAGCGGGGAGTGGGGAGGGAGGGTGGTGGGAATGAAGACCTAATGCCGGGGGGCTTAAGCGGAGAGGAAATGTTTTGAGAATGATGAGGGCAATGAATGTACAAATGTGCTTTACACAATTGACGTACTTATGGATTGTGATAAGAGTTGTATGAGCCCCTAGTAAAACGATTAAAAAAACAAGGAAAAAAATATGTGTGTGTGTTTATGAAGTTTGAAAAGGCATGTGTAAAAAGGTTAACAGTGCGTATCCTGCGTTGGAGGAACAGTGAATGCTTCCCCCCACAGTTGTGTGTTGCCACAATTATTCACAATAATCTATTTTTGCAAGGAGTAAAATTAATTCTGGAAACCTCCCCCCTCCACCTTGTACATGAAAACATGCATCAAACAAGGTTGAATTCTCAGAAGAGTATCATCAACTGCCCCCTGGGATGCTCCCCTTTCATCACAGCATTCCACACATAGTCGCTGTGATTTTTTTCCCCTTCGCACATCATCTCTGACTACCTTCAATCCCGTGAGCTAAAGTGTGTCCTTCCCAGGATGTCCCAATTTTACAGGGAAACCTTTGAAAACCAGAGCCTGGGTTAAGTCCATCCGGCGAGGAAAACGTAAATATTATTTTCGACAACCGACTCACTGCTGCCATTGGGCCCGTTCCACCTCGTAGAGGCCCCACGGGATGGAGCAGGGCCGTGTCTGTGGGTTTCAAAGACTAAATCTTGACGGGAATAGAAAGCCCCATCTTTCTCCTGGAGGGCGGCCGGTTGGCTTCAAACTGCAGACCTGCGCTTTACAGCCCAACACGTAACCCACCCACGGTGCCACCCAGGCAGGGCGCCTGCCACTAGACAGAGAAGGATGTGTGATGGGCCTCTGACAGCGGGTGGCTTGCCAGACCCTGAGAACCAAGCAGTTGTGTTGCATCCTGGGGCTCACAGTCACTGTGCTCCTGCACGAGTGCCCCCTTGGTACCCCGGTGTCAGGACTTCGGTTTTGCTGTTTCCTGTTATCTCTGTGAAAGACTCAAGGTGGTAGACAATAAGACGGTCCTTCTGAACTTGTTTATAAAGCAACCAATGTGTCTGTGAACTGGAGACTCTCCTAGATGCTGAGCAACTGGTAGGAGGCTCTGGACATCTGCCCTGGGCAATGCTCATCCCAAACCATCTGTCCTTCTGCCCCTTGGCACCCCCACAAGTCAGCGACCACGGTCTGAAAACAACCATTGTTCAATTGTTGCCATCAATTATTCAAGAGCTGCACAGACACGGGGCCCAGTGAGCTGGTGGCTGCAGGCAGTGCCACCACCCTACAGCACCGAGGGGCTGTTCTTCCCGAAGTCCCCAAACCTGGGTTTGGCACATAAAGGGTGGGAAAGGGAGTGACCCTGGAATGTATGGCCAGTGGTTCACCAGTAGACTACGGCAAAGTGGAAGCCTGTCGGTGAAAGGGTTTGCTCCTTAAACAACGGATATTTCGGAGCCACCCCCGATTTTCTGGCCAGGCAGAGCCCCCACTTACTACCTTCTGCCCTCTCTGCCAGAGAAGCTCGGAGATCCAGTAAAACCCTCACCGATACAGAAGGCCTGACCCCAGGGTTACTGACCCAATCCTAACCGTCACTGGTTCCAGACGCTGAAGTAAGAGTATTTCAGCCAGGACAATCACCTCTCCGTAGGAGTTTCTCAGTTTGTTTGTGGGCTGCTTGTTTGTTGTGACGACTGTTAGGTGCCTAAAGGGGAATGGACGGGGTGCCCTCTGGAGGTCTCTGCATGCCAGGGCTTCCAAGAAATCAGTGTCTGGCTGTTGGGGCTGGACTTTTGGGTGGCACTTCCAAATATCACCTTCCTGGCCCCTGGCAGGCCCTGGAGGTTGGCAGTCAGGGTTGGAATGAGGATTAGGAAGGGAAAGGGGTTCCAGGGCTTCGGGTCCCAGAGGACAGCCTTGAGTGGGTCTGGCACGGAGAACAAAACCATAGCTCAACGGGGAGAGAGGAAAAGTTTCATCTAAGAGGGCTGTTCCCAAGTTGTCAAGACCCCAGGTGCTAATCACCAAAGTAGGACTCGGAGCATTGTCTTGATGCACTCTGTCGAACTAGTTGGCTTTAGTACCCCCCACCCACCCCCCTGAGTCACTCATTCCCTCAGGTGTTTGGTTATAGCTAGGAGTTTCCACCACTCTGCCCCTAAATGCTCCCCTATATTCATAGATATTTGCAGCATATGTATCTACAAGGGGGGGGGACTTCCAAAAGTCTGTGGGAAATGGAATTAAAAGAATGGAAGAAATCTGAAGTCTGACCAAGACTTCGCCCAATAGACTGAGAGACCTCCTCCAGCTCACCCTTCATGGCTCTGAGACAGGAACAGCTAGAGGGTGCCCGGCTCCCACCAACAAAGGACTCAGGTTGATGTATTTGGTCAGTCTGCCTTACAGTCATCAGCCTGACCCTGAACCCACTGTGTGCCGGATCATGAAAGGATTGTATTAGGAGACCCTCCATCGAATGGAAGCAAAACATGGAACAAAAACTTAAAACTCATAGAAAATATCACGCCCACTGGTCAAATAAAAATGGATGGAACCCCCTTAAGTTCTGAAATGAACTCACTCCCTTGACTCTGCTTTTAGCCAAACGACAAACAGGTGCATCCCAAAACGCAGTGCCATGAGTCCTTGCTGACCCATGGTGATGCCGCTCATAGCAACAGGTCTCTGAGAGGCACGGCAACATGAGAAGTATGCTTAGAATAATCAACCATCTGATTGAAAACCCTCTGAGGCGGCATTTGCCCAAGACAAAGTTAGGAAGGCAGGAAGGAGTAGGAAACGAAGAGGTATGGAAACATGAAATAGAGAGGGAGTGAGAATTGTGGTATTATCTTTTAATCCTACTTTGCCACGAAGATTTTAAAAACCCCATGCACCTTGTGAGGATTGCACTCAATGACATGAAGCACAACATGCCTGAATTGTTGAATGACAAACTGATTTGCCATAGAAAACTTCCCTCAATGGACAATAAAAAGGATCTTGTTTTTGTCTTGTATTGTTACAGCCCAGGAAACGCTATGGGATAATTCCACACTGTTGCACGGGCTCACTGTGAGTCAGAGATCGACTGACTGGCACCTAACCACCACGATCCCCCTGCTCAAAACCCCAAGCCCGCTGTCACTGGGTGGTATCTAATTAAAGGGGACCCTACAGGGCAAAGCAGAACTGCTCCCTAGGATTTCTGCAGTGGGAGATTGTTGTGGGTGCAGACGGTCTCAACTTTGTCACAAGGAACAGCTGGTGGGTTTCAACTGCCCACTTTGCAGTTAGCAGCCTGACGCCTAAGGCACTGGCTGCAGATCCTAGACCTCTAGACTCGGTTTACTGCACATATTTGTTACCCAAAGCGAGATCTGCAGTTTCATCTAGCGAAGTCTCGGTGCCCGTGCCTTGTCTCCTTGCAGCCTGGGAGGCTGTAGAGATGCCCAGACCCTGATGGCAAGGGGACTTAATGTATCCTCGATTTACTCGATCCATCCACTCAACCAAAAGCTGGACCAAGGCTGACACAGGTTCGCTCCAGAACTGGTCCAGAGCACCATCCGTGTCCAGGAAAGAGGGGTCAGAGGGGAGGGTGGGCCTCCCTTAGACAAAGGAAACAAAGGTCTGGGGCACTGCAGTTTCTCTGCTTGGAGCAACTTCAATCATGGTGCCAGAAAAGATGCTGGAGAGGGCAGTGGGGACTAAACGCTAGTGTCAACCTGTGTCCTGCTGCCTGAATCCTGAATCCATCTCAAGGACGTGCCAACCCCCTCTCTCAGGAACCACTGCCACCATTCCGCTCCCTCTCCAGGTCCCTAAGTTCCAGCGAGGCTCCCCTCTCACCTCCTGCTCTTAGACCCCTCGCCACTGAGCCTCACCAGGGTTCCCTGGCCACAAAGATGCAACTGAAAGGCCAAAGACTGAAAAAAAAAAAACACTGTTTTAATAAATACAAAAATCTCCAATAGTGACTCTGCTCAGCTCGGGCAGCAGGAGTGGAGTAGGGGGACCCTTGATGCTGAGTGAGGATAAATTAAAAATCCAACAAGCCAGTGGCATTATGGGGCAAGGGGCTGGGCTTCCAGGGCAGACATGGGAGGGCCGGCCTGAGGACGAGAATGGCAGGGTGACTGGGTAGGAGTGGGAGTGGAAATGGCCTTGGTCTGGCCCCAAGGGGCTCGTCCTCCCCCTTGTGGACTTGCGGCTCCCAGAGGTAGTGGGGGAGGGAGAAGGGCAGAGAAGAGGAGCCGAAGGCACTGGGTTTCCCACAGGAGGATGAGGGTCCTCAGCGCTGCCCCTTCCCCAGCCCAGGCCCCCCCGCCCCGTCCTCTTGGTCTGGCTGCCTTCTGTGCACACCGCCCTACGAGCCTTCAGCTTCTCTCTCCAGCTCCGGAGCAGTCCTGGCCTCTAGGGGGGCTGGAGACACAAGGGAGTGAAGTGGGAGGAGGAGGAGGAGGCCTGCGCGGCAGGGAGAGAGAACCTCTCTGTTCTGGTCCCAGGAGGGTCAGGGTTTCGGAAGCAAGTCAGTGCCCACCAGGGTGTGATCTTCGTCTGGGGGTTTAAGTATGCAGAGCTTCAAAACTACTCTTGTTAACCAAAGATAATCACTGACAGCCTTTGCGAAGCAGGCCCAGGTAGGTGCCCCCTGCGCCCCAGGCAGCCCTCACTCACGCCTCCGGGATGTGCAGCGGGAGCAGCACGGGCTCTCCTTCTCTGCGCCACAGGACAGCGGGGGTGAGCAGTCATCCCGCTCACAGTGCGGCACCCCGGCCTGGAGCAGCACCAAGCAGAGGCTGAGGGTCCCCCAGCTTCGTCAGGGGAGCCTCCCTCGTACAGGCTCCTTGCTCCCGACTTACCCCACATCTGCAGGTTATACAGCTCATCTCCCCAAAGGGGGGCACCAACGGGTGCCAGCTCTGGCTCTCTGGAAACCACTGGCCCGCAAAACGGCAGCCCCGGGGCCCATCAGCCTGCATGGGGTCGCCCTGCTGGGGGCGGGCCCCTGACCCCACTGTTGGGAGGGAGCGAGAGACAGGATGAAGAAGGAGTCAACAGATGTGGGTTTCATGAGGTCCACCCATGTTTCATCATGATACATGTGGACGGAGAGATGGCTGGGCAAGTGTCTGGATGGACAGATAGTAGGATGGGTGGATGGGTAGGTGAAGAGGTGGGTGGGTGGGTGGATGGAGGGATGGAGGGATGGAGGGATGGATGAATGGATGGATGGAAGGCTGGATGGAATGGGGACTGGAGCTGGCCATGCCCACTGATCACACCCATTCTTTTCACTGTGCTATAGCCCGGGCTTCAGGCTGGCACACAGCAGTGTTCAGGAAGTGCTGAATTAGCTGAGAAGCCCCCTCCACCCTCACCCACCTCCTCATCCCCCACCCCCACTCTTCACCATGCATCCCCTCACCCAAGACCAGGTGCTTCAGAGCCTCGCCTCCCACTGCAGCCTCAGCACCCACCCCTTCCTCACCTGGACACTGTTTGCAGCAGTCAGTGGGGTTGGCTCGCACAGGCTGGGCACAGGCCAGCCGGGGACACTGCACCTTCTCACAGTGCACCTCTCCGGTGCCCCCCTGTAAGGGTCCACTGGGTGAGGACTGGCAGGAGGGAGGGGCCACCTATGCTTCTGGCTTCCTCCCTCAATTTCCCTGCATCTCAAGCGGAACACGGACCCATGACTTTCTCCGGAGCTTCCGGGCCAGTGTTCTCTAAGCCTAACCTCATCCCCTCATGGAAACGCTGCCGGGTGGCTGCTCCCCTTGGCACACAGGAGGGGAGCCTGAGGCCCAGGAGAAGCATGCCCCCCATCACATCGGGCGGAGTGGGACTCCCCCTCCAGGGCAGCCCTGGCCCACTACCCACAGGAAGCTGACTCCCAGTGCCAAAGGGACTTCTCTGGAATTGCTTTCACTTCTTGAGTCCTCCCACCCTCTCCCTCCCAAAGATGGGTCTTCTTCCCCAGGTGCCCCCCACCCCCATCTCTGCAGACCTGGCTAGAGGCTGAAATGGGTGCAGTCTCTGGAGAAGATGGGGAAGCCATACCTTGCAGGTGCAGACAGCACACTTAATTAAACCAAAGGGGGGCACCACGGGGTGCCATCGGGTCCCCGCCGCCCGCCAGCTCCGGTCACCATCAAAATAGCATCCTGGGGGTGGGGGGTACGTGCCCCGTGGCAGTCAGTGCTAAGCTGGGCCCACAACCAAGTCGTCCACCACAAGCCAACCCCACATAGCCTCACCCCGAGTCCCTTCACAGGGCAGTCGCATTCGTGAGAGGTGCCAGGTGTCACTAGAGCCCATGCCCTTCAGCCCTCCCCCTTCACATCTGTGTCTGTCTCCTCCTCCTTTCACCCCCCAGCCCCACCCAGTAGCACCCCCCTCCGCACCCCTCAGCCCTGCACACCCAGGCAGCTCACCCTCTCCTGGGTCGCGGCTCCTGGGCAGCCCCCGGTCTCTGACATCCTGCTTCTCTGTGGAGCCAAAGGCACGTCTAGGGCAGAGGGTGACCCTCTCCTCCCCTCCACTTCCCCCCTCTCCCCTGCCAGGCACTCACCTGGGCACACAGGGCAGCACTGGTCTGGCACCTGCACTGGGCGTGGGCAGTGGAGCGGTGGGCACACCACGGGGTCACAAATCACAGTGCGTCTCTGCGGGGCCCGGGAGCAGCCACACTAACTGGGTGCCCTCAGGCCTCGGGTCCCTAGAAGCCCTCCCGCACCCGAGCCCCTACCTGGCAGGCGCAGAGTGAGCAGAGTGGGTCATAATTAGGTGCCCAGCGAGCCCCGTGGGGACGCTGCTGCCCCTCAAAGAAGCATGAGTTCCCGTCCCGGGGGCGTCCTGGTCTGACGGGAGCTGGAGCCTCCGGGCCGGGCGCAGCGGGCAGCGCAGGCTGGGGGGCCACATCGGGGGTTCCCGGCGCCCACATGCCCTCGGCCCCCGCCGCAGCCAGGCGCAGACCGCCCACCTCACAAGCATTGGCGACGTGCACCTGAACAAGAAGCCAGCTGAGGGTCATGCTGCTCCCTGCCTTGTCCTCCACCGGCAACAGGCAGGAGGCCTGAGGGACAGCAGATCCCCCACCCCAGGCACCTCAGGAGGACACTAGCATCCAGCCTCCGGAGGCAGGGCTGCTGTGTGCCATCCCTTTTATTACCTGGTCTGGCTTCATCCTCCCAACCAGCCAGGTCATTTGCTACCATCGCCCAGCTCTCTGGAGAGCGCCGGAGTGACCCACAGGGCCACAGTGCTAACCCAGCCCTGAATCACCCACGCAGGCGGCTACCTGCCCTCGCAGCTCCCCACGGGGGCTCCCCTTGGTGGTGATCAGCAGGGAGGCGGTGCCCTTTGCCAGGTGCTGCAGCAGCTCAGGCTCCAGGTCTTTCACCACACCTTGGGCCTGCGTGCACATCCACAGGAGGAACAAAAGGGACAGGACACTTCAGGGCTGAGCCCACTGTCCTCCATGCAAAGGGGAAGAAACTGAGACCCAGCGAGCTCGAATGAGTCTCTGGAGCAGTGACATCATCCAGTAGCAACCACCTCTTGGACTCCAATACTCTGCTGCCCACACACCTCCGAGGGCTGGTCCACTCCCTGCCGACAGGCCCTGGTGCCACCCAACATAATCCATATCGCCCAGGAGAGCCCCCCAGGAAAGGCCGGGGTGGGGGAGAGGGGAATTAATGCCAAAAGCTGTTTTACTGAAAGGTCTTTATTCATATTACCTCACAGGACAGGTGGACAGTGCCTTGTGAACACAAGATCACCCAGCCCGTCGGGGGCTGAGTCACATCGGTACCCAGGTCGTTCCCCCGAGCACATGCCAACTCTGCTAAACTAGGCTGCCTGCCCTCTGCCCCCCTCTCCCCCAGGCCCACACAGCCCTTCGGGCTAATGAGTGGCTACTTCCCAAGCTGTGTCCCATGCCAATGTCCTCACCTCTGGGCCGTAGAATCCCTTCAGTAGTCGCCGGGGTCCTGGCATCCCAGGAGGCCCAAGAAGGTGGGCAGCGACAGTGCCCTGTTCTGAGCCACCAAGCCCAGCCAGCAGCACCTCGTAGTGCAGGTGACAGTGGGTGTCGAGGGAGAGCCAGGCATGCCCTGCGGCCTGGCTCCTCACAGGGGGCAGCACCAAGGCTCCTGCGAGGGGCACAGGCGGCGCTGGGCCCAGACAGGGGAGAGGAGACAGATGAGGCCTGGCCTGGAGCGGCCTCTCCATCCCAGCATTCCCCACGTTCCCAGCATAGCCCCCAGGCACTGGGAAGCACTGTGCATGGGCCCAGGGCCTGCGAGCAGCAACTCTCCGTTCCCGCACCGTGCCAACAGGGAAACCGCCGGCAAGAGTACCTCATCTTCCCCACTGGCAGCCCAGCGGCACCAGCCCTCAGGCCCTGTGTCACGCTTTAGAAGACACTCAAAGTCAGGTGGAGCCCCAAGACACTCACCATTGAGGCGGGCGCTATGCCCACTGTAAGGCAGGGCAGCCACGTGCCCCCGCAGCTCCCCCTCTGGGAAGTCCTTGGTGCCCACATTCAGGAAGAGTTCATTCTGCAGCAGCATATGAGCCCCTCGGGCACCCAGTGCAGGGCAGATACCCACGGCCTGCAGGGCAGGGCAGGGCAGGGTGAGCCCTAGCCTCAGCCTGCCAGACCCGGAACAAACCTCTCACACTTAAGGTTCTGAGGCCTTACCATGTTTTGTGTCCCCACCCTGTCCATGTGCACTCCCACAGCACATCAGTTGCTATGGATAAAAGCCTTACAGTCTCACGCCCCTCCTCTGCCACTCCCCAGCTGGGTAGCTTTCAGCAGTTACTGAGCCTCTCTGGTCCTTCACCCTGTCCTCTTTAAAATGGGCATTGGGAGAGGCAGAGTAAGGCAACTGGTGTGGGGCCTGGCACGGAGAAACACACCGTACATAATCACTGTGACCACATTAATTCTGATCTGACCTATTGCACGGAGAAGATCAGGGGATGGAGTGCTTACGAGCTGGACTGCTTACATAAGGTCTGCAGTCTGAAACCACTGGCCACACTGCGGGAGGGCAAAGCTTTCTACTCCTGTAAAGAGTGACAGTCTCAGAAACCCACGAGGGCAGTAGGGTCGCTATGAGTCGATGGCAGCGTGTTTGGGACTGGAGTCGATTGCACTAATCTCCCTGTCTAACCCCTGAGCCACATCTGAACGCCTGTGTACTCCAATCCCTCGCCTGGGCTCACTAAACAGAAGCCATGTCACCCACTGAACAAACCTGTCATGGAGGGCATCATGCCGCCTGTCCCTGCTCAGCCCACACAGCTCCCCCTGCCATGTCCTGGCCGTCCTGGTGCATGGCCCCTGAGTGCCAAGGGGTTGAAGCCCAGTTCTGCCTGAGCCCTCACCATGCGTCCTCCAGGAGGGAGTCCAGCCATCTGGCACAGCACGGTGCGCTGGTTCCTCCGCTGAGGCTTGGTCTCCAGGGTCATGGCCACCACCTCACTGCCTAGCCCTACCACTTGGACCTGGTGGGCAGAGTGGGAGGGGGCACTGGAGTGGCAGAGAAGGCCCTGCCTCGTTACCCTCCCCTTGCCTGCCTGTAGCCCCTACCCTCACCTGGTAGATCAGCGAGCCATTTGCCTGTAGTGTGAGGCTGGCTGAGCCAGCAGCCCCTGTCTGGACTGGCATCAGGGCATCAGCCCCACAAAGAACACTCTGTAGGACTGCAGGAAGACAGGGCAGGTGCCAGGCTTGCGCAGGGTCGCTCACACTCCCAGCTCCCTCCCACCCCCTCCCTTCTCGGCCCACCCCTGGTCCTTGTCTGTGTCTTTCAGCTGTACGTGCTGGTGCCAGAGGGAGGTAGGGGGCGGGGGTCCCAGCACCCTGCCTCACCGTCGCAGCTCTGCCTGGCAGTGATGTGTCCACTGATGCGCGGTCCTGGCCCACCTGCCCTCTCCAGCACCATCTGCAGCTCCCCCAGAACCAGCCAGCTCATCTCCTGGTCTGTCAGGTTGGGCAGCACCTCTGCAAAGCCTGGCTCCTGGGGAAGCAAGCAGGAAGTGGGAGGCAGCGGCAAGAGGCCACTGATGGTGGTGACAGCAAGAGCCAGACCCACCCTCACTCACCTGACTTGAGGCGTTGGCCTGGAGCTCTCGAAGGAGCTGCCCCTGGTGTAGAATCTGGAGCTGCAAGGGGACCTGGACTGGCCCTGCAATGGCCACACAGGTGAGGCCCTTCTGAAAGGCCAGCCCTCTCCAGCTAGCCCTCTCACCTGCCTGATTCACTTACCCCCACTCCTGGCTTCCAGCAGCCCGCGGAAGAGCAGCAAAAAATGCAAGGAGTTCTCCGTGTCACTGAGCGTGAGCAGGGTGATGGCCCCCACGCCCTGCTGTGGAGGGTCTTCCAGGGTCAGGATGGCACTGAAGGTCTCTAGACAGGGAGGGAGACCACAGAGCGGGTTTGGAAGACCTGCCTTACTCCTGGAGCGTAGAGAAGATCCAGAACTTCACACCAGGGCCGTTGGCTCTCCTCACCTGCAGCTAGGGCCCGGTGCCTGATGAGGGGCCCCCAGACCTCCCCGGAGGGGTGAGCTGGTGTCAGGAGTGCCACATGCAGCTGCTCTGACCGAAGGAGCCGCAGGGACAAGCGGGGCACTCCCCGCCACACCCCACAGACCTGGAGCGGAGACAAGGAGGGCCTTCTCAGCCAGCTGCCAAGCACAGGCCACCTGAGAGACCCAGCTTGGCCGGGGGACCTATGGGCCGAAGGCTCCGGTGCCTCCTAGCAAGCTTGCCAAATGGCTCTGGAGGCAGATTCCTTAGTTCAAATCCTGGCTCCACCACTTACTAGCTGTGTGACCTAGAGCAAGTCACATTCTGCTTTTGAGCCTCGGTTCCCTAGTCTGTAAAATGGGGGCATCAGAAAGTCAGTGACACCCCTCCCCTATCCCACACACAGGGATGTTTTGAGGAGGACCCGAGGCAATGCCCAGCAAGCCCTCAGGGCAGTGCTCAGCACTGGACACGTGCTCTTAGATAGCACCGTCTCACCAGGCCTTCCTGGGTCGGGGCTGCAGGGTGTTCGAACAGGATGCTGCCAGTTGAGTCTGAGAAGCGAACCCTGGCAGGGCGGTCCAACCTGGGGAAGAGGGGACTCAAGAGCCTGGGCTAGAGGCAGCCGCTCCCTTGTGAGTCCACAGCTCTACTCGTGGGGAGCTGAGCTCCCCGCCTCCCCTCTCTCACCTCTGGTAGGAGATGGAGAAGCGCAGGCTGGAGCGCAGCAGAGAGACTCGGGCCCGGGCCACCGCCTGCGACCTTGGTCCGGTCAGCAGCGCCACGAAGTCTGCGGGATAGGAAGAGGGCCTCAACTCCTCACCCGCCCCCACTGTCCCGACCGACGGCGATCCCAGCCCTGGGCCCCGCCTACCGGTGTGGCCATCGCTGCGCGCCCGCTCGTCAGAGCCCGGCTCCCCCGGGTCGCTATAGCTGCGGTGCTCAGGG